AGAGACAGTAGCTTCTATAATAAGAAGGCACTATACAGTAGAGATTGAATTACAAATAGGTTGCCATCTGTCTTTGCTTAAATGACTCTATCTTAAATTTTTCTTAATAGGAAGGATATAAAGCAGGCATGTCAAACTCGCGACGTCACATGATGTTGCGTGACGTATCAGAGCTTTTTCACCATTGCCGGCAATGGGGTGGGCGCGGCTCCAGTATGATGAAACTGGCCCAGGGGCCGGCAGTTTGACACCCCTGATATAAAGGAATCAGCATCTTGGTATTAGGCTACTTTTGACAAATGACTAACCAATTATTGTTCCCAATCTAAAAGAACAATCTCAATTACTGGAATTAGAATTAGGTGAACCCTGCAGGAGTTTTAAACAAATATTGTCATATTAATTTAGGAAAACAAATTCAAAAAATGAAATTATTCTTGGATGTTATCTTTTATTCTTCTTCCTTGCCTATTAAGAAACATGTTAAAAGTGAATAAAAAACATTATAGATCTTTAAAAAAAACCCAGTGATCAGAACAAATCATAATTTTTTTTTGAAAGCCTTAATTTTTCCCTCAAGAAAGGGAAAACCAGAAGCATCTTTGCCTAAACATTTGTTGTAAAAAGTAGGGACCCTGTCCTGAACCCAATTCCTGATAATTTCATAGACAAGACTTTCTTACCATAGCAACAGTAATGCCTTTCCACTCTCTTTTTAAATGATTTTTTTTCAGCTTCCCAACCCAGCCTACAGTTTTGGGATTCTCTGGCAGACTCCCTCTAAATCAGGGGTCTTCAAACCTGGCCCTTTTATGACTTGTGGACTTCAACTCCCAGAATTCCTCAGCCAGCATGGGAATTGAAGTCCACAAGTCATAAAAGGGCCAAGTTTGAAGATCCCTGCTCTAAATTCTATCCCAATTCAGTCCTGCTTAGCTGCTGATCCCAGAGACCAGCCAGGTAGAGCCATTTAGCTAAGCAACACACATGGTAAGGCAACATTCTTGATATACCCATTTTGTAAATGTTGAAAACTGAAGCAAACAGAGACATTTATTCTAGCATTTTGTAAAAATTCTTTTCAGGTATCAGCTAAACCATAAACTATTCCTGGTGGGACAAGTAGGCATAGTTTCAGACAGTTTTTCTTTGGAGTAACATGGTAAACTTTGTGCTGTTACACCACAACTCATAAGCCATTCCCACAGAGAAAATATAGCGATCTACAGTATGTGTGTTCTAGAGCTCATCACTAAATTTCCTATTTCCTTTTGAAAGAGATGTTAGTTCCTAAACAGGAATTTAATCTTCAAAATACCATATAATTGCTGACATAATCAGCATCAGCAACATCTAAGACTGAAGTTTATTCTCTCCACTTATATTAGTTAAGGATCAAAGTTCTTTACAACGCTTTTTTCATTTGTATCAATCATTTTCTAGAAGTAAAGATCAACACTGGTAATATATAATAGGATTGTTTTTTACAATTTGTTATGTTTCCAGTACTATCAATATTCACTGAACTTTTATTTATTTGTATCCTGCCATTATTTTTATAAATAACTCAAGGCAGCCAACATATCCAACCCACTTTCCGCCTCTTATATTCCTACAACAACAACAATCCTGTCAGGTGGGCTGGGCTAGAAAGAGAGTGACTGGCCCAAAGTCATCCAGCTGACTTCCATGGCTAAGACAGGACTAGAACTCATGGTCTCCCACTTTCTAGTCTAGTGCCTAACCCACTGGACCAAACTGACTCTCACTTTTTGGAGACAACTTTATTGTGCCACCAGAACAAATTTGTACATAATAGATTTTATATCAATTTTATTGCTTGCTCATTCTGTCCACATAGCAGAAAATCTGGTTTAACTCAAGACACAGTATCTTCCTCCTCCTCCATTTTACAATGCTATCTTGCCATACGTTAAATCTTTCTTTGATGTCATGTCCAAAGAATTTACTCCTTGAGATGTTATTCTGATTATTCCATTTTCCCCCTCCTAAATTGCCTGTCAAATGTTAGCCAGCATCTGAAGGGTTTTATTGGGATTCATTAGAAAAATACAGAAATTGGACAGAATGAGGATGGAAACTGCTTTCCTGGATTACTACAGAAGGACGTTTATGAGCTCGAAGGTCTGAAAATCTTAGGTATAACTGATGAGGCATTTGCAGATGTGTGACAAAGCTAACAATGGTTTAACTTGGATGACAGAAAGAAGAATCACTAAATTTGATAAGCCTAGCATTTCTACCCCTAAAATGAATGGGACCTAGTGATAACATCTGGACAGGAATAAAGATAGCATTCATGTGATAGTATTCATATTTATGTCAGGAGGACATCATGAGCTAGTCACAAAGGATATATTTTATTTATTTATTTAGTATAATTTATATGCTGTCCATCTAACTTTGAGAAGAGACCTGAAAAAGAGGGGGTCACCAGTAGAAGTCCTAAAACTTTTTGATACGATTTGTAAGCCAATTCTAGCTTACAAGGGCTCTAAAGCTGGGGCAAACTATGCGGAGATCAGATTAGCATAGCTACATATCGACATATAATTATTCTAATTGCAATCTGTATTGGCATTAGAATATAACCACAGGGAGTTGATATTTCTGGCATGAAGCAACTGCACTGATTCATCCAATACACAGAAACATGTTCTCTCTATTCAACATGTTCATTCTCCTTTTCCTGATTTATATGAAAAAGAGCACAAATGTTTATAAGACTTTGATTCTCACTACAGAAAATTTGATAAGCCAGCATCCTAAGTTTCCTACCCACTATGCGCCTCTTGAACAGGTGTACATAGCGTCAGTCTTCTAAAAGATAGGAAATCTAAAACAAAATAAAAATAAGCAAAAGGGAAAAATAAAGACCAAACTCGTATATAAAAAACTCCATTTTAAAGAATGCATTAAAGCTTAGCCACATGAAATAATATTAATCAATCTTTTCATTATGTTGATAAAGAGCCAGTTCATACACAGAGAACAAACAATTCTCCAATTTTTATAACCCAGGGTAGCGCTGACTTTCTGTTGTAAAAATGTGTGAAGTTTATGCTTAGTAACTCCATAGCTTTTCACCAATTGATTAATTCCACTTTTAAAGCACATAATTGCAAAACACATTACTTTAAAAGTATCCCTCAGACTACCACTGCAGCTTTTCTTTTATGCATCAGCATGATCTCCACTGCTGGACCTCCACAATGATAGGAAGCCATAAAAATAACCATGCTCAAATCTTTATTTATTCCTGGAAGCTCTTGAAAATATCACGATAGAATTTGAAAAGAAAAATCTTAATAATTTCATCCAACAGCATCACTGAAAATTTGAGCGAAGAGATTATGGGTAATGATAAAATGAGGACACCTGACTGCACTACAATCTGAGATTGTTATAATTACACTACAAATTATTGTGGCATGCTAAAAATGGAAAATCAATATCCCCTCCCTACTTTTCAGCAGCTAGCTCAGAACATAATAACATTAAGTAACTCTTCACCCAATACTGCTGAATATTTGTTATTAAGAAGTTTTTTATAGGGCCTAAATGTGTACATTTTGTTGCTATATTATATATTTTTAATTTTAAAAAATGTTTATGATTGTAATGTTCTTACTACAACCATGTCTTAATTGCTCTAAACAAAGGAAGAATGAAACATGTGCAAAAAAATTAGTATATCCAAATTTCACTGGTTTGTTTCCAAATTAAGCTTTCATTTCAAGGGGGCAAAGAAACAGAACAGAACAACGATATCAGGAAAAGTTTTCATTCATCATAAATATATGCATACTTTCAGTGGGATCTGGTTATTGATATTAATTAAGATATTCATTAAGAAATTAAATTCCTATCCTATCCAAAATATACCATTAAAAATTGAAATATCTCCAGATTTCCATTTCTGATTCATTTCTCTATGTGCATCTGTTTTCATTTCTATAATAATAATAGTAGTAAAGTTGGAAGGGACCTTGGAGGTCATCTAGTCCAATCCCCTGCTCAGGCAGGAAACCCTACACCATTTCTCTTTTCTAATAACATTTCCTGGATCAAGTGTTGGATATATCCAGGACAGATAGCTTGGAACCTTTGAAGTCCACTGATCTAGATGCACCTGGGTATACGCTCCGAAATTCCACTGAAAATTGCTCCAGAATTGTGAATTTAAATTTTAAAAATGTAATATAAAAAGTAACTACTTAACCTGTGGCTGCTGTTGCCCACCGCTATCTTCACCCAGATAATGGTTTTCTCTTGCTCTGGTTTACCATTTGGGAGGTAATGGGTCAAGAGATATGTTGGTTGTTGGCTAATTTAGATATCTCTAGAAGAACAGCTTATTGGGTGACTGTTTGTAAATGCTGTCTTTATTTAAATAAACAGGTCAGAAAAAGAAAAAAGTAAATAATGGAGGGCCTCTTAAAGAGGTATCTAAAATTTTACACAATGTGTTCAATAAAGAGTGACCATATTTTATTATAATCATTCATACCTGATCTATGTATATAAAGAATTTGTAATAGTTAATAAATAGAACAATTTCAACAAATAAGTGACTTAACGGCTGACTATTAAATAATTTAATTATAATTTAATATTCCAATTCTAAGGCTGTCTGTCTACACAATAACTTTGGGTAGTTTACAAGGAAATAAAATGAAATAAAGTAAGAATCAAGGAAGAAAGATAAGACTAACCAGAAAATCAATCCATAACAGTAAAAAAATACCTAAACCAAAAAACTGAAGTGATTAAACCAGCCATCTTATCCCAGGATCTGGGAGAATGATCAGGTTTCCAACAAAATTCAAATTAAATAATGCAATGCCTATTAATATCCTATAGAAAAATAATACTTTTCTATACATAAAGAGATACATCTCTGCATACATATTTGAGAGAAGAGATCTACGTACGAGATCTTTTCCATATTATCAAACAAAAAGGGCAGAAAATCTTACTTTTTCATCATCATCAGTAAAAGGAATACCTCCAGGAGTTTTATTTATCACTTGTGCAACTCCAGTGATTTCGCCCTCGCTGTTTCTTATAGGCATGCAGAGCAATGACTTGGTCTTGTATCCTGTCAGTTTGTCAATCTTGTCATTAAAGCGGTGGTCCTAACAAAATGGAGAAGGAAAATATTAAGATTAATACTTATATGCTTTTAATATGTTCTACTCTATATTCAATCTCTCTCAACTCAATCTATACAATATACAATACAAGGGTATTGTTAATACAATGCAAGGATATTGTTATGGGGAATGACTGAAGAAGTGGTTTGCTACCCTGAGTTCCCAGAGGAATGGTGGGGTGTTAAACAAATGAATAAATAAATACACTAATAAATAACAAAGTTGCGCTACAGATAACTATATACACATACAAAATGATTTTAAGTAAATGCTATTTTCTTGTGAGAAACTATGGGAAGGAGGAATTCAGATTATGTGAGAAGAGACAACAGAGCCCAGATATAAGAAATACAGGAAAACATCCTACAAAGAGATTCCATCTTAAATGACTCACTATAAATAAAGGAAATTTACTGTTTTCAAGATTATGTTTCTTGCCCTGACTAGCAATAAGCATAACTATTGGAAATCCCTGTGGTTTTCACTCTATATTGGCTAATTATGTAAGGCACCACTAAAGAAGGCTGATTTTTTTTTTCCAGGTTTCTGTGCAAATCTAAAAAAGAAGACATGAATGCTTGGACACATAGCTTTTGAGTCAAGATCTTAAAGCAGCCACATCTTTTTTTTTTAGGCACACATAAATTGGACTGATTTAACAAGTAGCAGAGAGGTATTGTGCTTATGCAAGATCAGACTCAAGTTTTTTTTTTTTTCAAATAATGATTGAGGAGTGGTCAGCTATTAAAAAAACAATTCTTGCATAGGCACAAGCAAACAGCTTCTGTTACTGAAACAGAGCCTAGTAAAAACTGCATTCATCACTTGCCCCCAAATGAATGGATTCTAGTCTGTTATACTGCACGGATAGGAAAAAGAGGTGAACCTTGATTTTATAAGTAGAACTTGCATTTGATAGACAATAGTCAACAGAATTCTTTCATAAAGACATTACAATAAATCTTTTGCGTCCTTGGAAATCTCAGAAGTTTTTCAACTAGTTGATCAATGGTCCTAATAACTGCATTTACCTTTATTATCTATACATTCCTTTATTCATACCAGTATTAGAACATACTATTTTCTACTGAAATGTTCTGAATATAGGTAGTCCTTGCTTAGCAACTGCCTTATATAGTGACCATTCACAGTTACAACGATGATGAAAAAGTCACTTTTGTTAATCACTCCTTGCACCTGTAACCTTTGCAGGTCTGTAAAGCAAAGGAAAGTTGAAGGAAGATCATAAACACAGTTTCACTTAGTGACTATTGCACTTAACAAACAAGTTGCCCGTCTCAGTTATGATCAGTAAACAAGGACTACCTATTATGCTTAAAACCAGTGAAAGATCTTTTAGCAGCAAGCTTTCAGCACATCTACCAATCACTCTTTTGTAATTGAAGAAATCTTCTTAATAGTTCCTGTAAGAAAGAGTGCTTCTAGACAAGGCTTTTATGTGCAGACCCACTGACTCATTAATGGAATTTAATGCAATGCTCCAAATGATGTTTTCCATTTTTAATCCTCCTGTGTTTTTCCACTACTTATTTCATCCTTTTTCCTTGTGATTGAAATCCATTAAGGAGAGCACATTGCAATAACTGCATAATATCTTTTGTTTAGTAGTGTTAGCAACTCTCCATTTAGGAACAATTTTTCTCCATTTGGAAAGAACTTATTTTGTTTATTCTGCTGAGAGGAGGCAAAATAATCAAGCGGCAGCTGACAAGGAATTTCCCAGCATACAGGAGCATGATTTAGCAAGCCATAAAAATTAAATAAAATATCCAAACCTATGTGGTATACTATGTGCAGATATTCCTTATCTAGTATAGTATTGTTCTTTTAAACTAAAAGGACCATTTCCTTCAAATGACATAGCTCTAGAAGATGCTTGGACTAAATTTCCTTTTCTGAGGACAACCTTTGTAAACATAGACCATGGGTGTCAAACTCGCCACGTCACGTGACCTGTCGTAATGTATCACGACTCTTTTTGCATTGCCGGCAATGGGGTGGGTACGGCTTCAGTATGATGAAACCGGCCGATGGGCCAGCAGCTTGACATCCCTGAAATAGACCAAGAAAAACATGTCTGTTCCTATCAAGGGGAGGTAGTGAACTGTTTATTCATATATTGACACAGATACTTTGATGCTATCAAGGCCTCATTTAAGCTTTAGTGCAATTTGTGGAACCAGTGTTTCCATTTGTCTAACCTGAGAGTATCAGATATATCAGAATGGACTTAGGATAGCCAACCGTCTTTTTTTTTTTTTTTTGCTTCATTTCAGTAGGGCATAAGGATTCCATAATCACATAAAAAGAATGTGAATCATCCACATTAATATCCAAATTTGACAACGCCTGCAATAATTTCTGTCTGGAATGCAGTTGTATTCAGTGTAGCCTTATCAGAGTAGTCGCCTTACTGATTAGGAGCAAATTTAACTCTAAAAACAGCATACTTGTTAGCCATTTAAAGGGAGTCCAATGTACTACATTTTCATGTACTTGTCAATTTTGGGTTGTCTTGGAAACATTTACAGTTTCAAAGACATATTATCACTTGGGCTATTCCTTAATCTCTTTTTCTTTTTCATATTTGCAAAAAAATTTAACTACTATATTATCAAAATTCTACTAAGTCATGAATCAGCATGGAGCTCAGCAGGGGAAATACCGCCAACATTTCATTTAAGTTGAATGAAAACACCTACAGAACATTTGGCATGCTTTCAATCCATGTTTCTCACATGGCATTGACCAACCAAGACAAGGCATCCTTAACCCATACCCGCATATTGTTCTTAGGAGCTTAACTCCGCATTGATAATAAATCCAGTGCCAAAAATTTGCTCAAGCAGACGCTGAGGATCTTTTAAAGGATGAGTAATTTTAGGTGTACAAACCACAGCATTGGTTTCTATGCCTAAACTTTTTTTGAAAGTAAAGACTCTATATTAGAGAAATAATTGAGGAAAATCTGTTTAGCCGTAGCTTGGCAGTGAAGCTAAGACTGCACTGCATGTTCTTTGCCCAAATGTGTTTTTATCTATTTGAGGAAGATTACTGCTTACTTACTTCACTGGGTGAAGCCTTGAAGACTCGCCATGAGAAAGCATGAAAATAAAGCAACTTTAAAATAATATATACTATGTTTTCAGTATCAGCTATGAAGTCTTAAATCTGTAGTATTTCTGCAAGACAGAAATGATGCATTAGTTTTAGTTTTAAGAAAATAAATATTTATGTTTAATAAATTAGGAACTGAAATGTGTTTTATGGAACTGATCTTTTATAGCTAGCTAGCTAGGTGCATTATGTTCAATTAATTACTTATCTTTTGATATTGTTGATAACTCATTCCATACAAATTTTACAGGCTCATTAATAATGACAATAATCGTGCTGATCATACATGTTGATAAACTTTTTAGAAAATAATTATCAACAAAATGCATACTTTTGTAGAGAGAATAATAGTTTCCATTAAATCATAAATACGATATTTAAAAATATGATAAAACTAGTCTAACGACAATTATAGAGACTTCATTTACTTTCCATGTTTCCAAAGAGATTTTATTACTTAGGCCGGTAACATTGTGTATCCTAATTTGCAAAGGATGGCAGCACTTTAATTAATTTATCTTAATTGTATTAAATACGCCATCTAATATAGAAGAGAAACAATGTACAGTAACTTATATTCATATTTTCATTAATAATATAGTTATGAAATAAGGATTGGCTTAGCATATTAAAAACAACATAGAAGAAAATAATTTATCATAAAACAAATTAAGCTAAGCATGAGGCATGTGAAGGATTTAAATAAAAGCTCCCTGAAAAATAAAGAAAATCCTTTCAATCGAATGTGGGTTTGTTGGTTTTTATTTAATTTGTATACTTATTTCTTTCTAAATAATGTATATTGCACTTATCTTTATCCTCAACAATCCTGGGAGATATTTAATCTGATAAATGGTAAATGGGTTTGTTTAATCTGGAGTCACTGAAGAAACCACAACTGAATGGGGTTTTGGAGGACAAGAGGCAATGTTAGAAAGCAACCATTCTGGTTAATAAATGTTTTCTAACCGGCCATATCCACATTACCTTTTGTAAAAGTGGCCATATGTATTTTCAGAATCTCAAATTTAACATTATACTAAAAGATTAGGAGTACATATATGCACACTATTCTTATGACCGGTATTCTATTTTGGGGTAAGAAATACTATAAAAAGCACAAAAGAGAAATACTGTAATAACAAAGAAATTAGAATGATATGAAAAAGAATAAGAAATATAGCTAAATCACCACTTACTATACCTCTTTATTCCTTTCTGAAGCAAACCATTCTTGCTACCATGTCTCTACCAATTCACATATTCCCTTCTGTTAATTAACTTTCCACTTCCCTTATCAACTCTTTTCAACTATAATTTTCTCAGCCTTCTCCTTTCTCTCAACCATTATTACCTCTTTGTTTATGTATAAGTAGCTCTTATGGCTTATGTCCATTCATTCAGTGACTGATCAAAGTTTGTTGTTGTTAATTGCGAAGTCGTGTCTGACCCATTGCGACCCCATGGACAATGTTCCTCCAGGTCTTCCTGTCCTCTACCATCTTCTGGAGTCCATTTAAGTTCAAACCATTTGCTTCAGTGACTCCATCCAGCCACCTCATTCTCCGTCGTCCCCTTCTTCTATTGCCCTCAATCTTTCCCAGCATTAGGCCCTTCTCCAGTGAGTCCTTCCTTCTCATTATGGTCCAACTTTCACATCCATACATTGCAACTGGGAAAACCATGGCCTTGATTATACGCACATTTGTTGGCACGGTGATGTCTCTGCTTTTTAGAATGCTGTCTAGATTTGCCATAGCTTTCCTCCCCAGGAGCAAGCGTCTTTTAATTTCTTGGCTGCAGTCCCCATCTGAGGTGATCTTGGAGCCCAGGAAAATAAAATC